GATAATTTTGTACAGGAGAAGCTGAAAGAATGGAACTTGGATGTCCTGATACCAAGCTTTAAAGGTAAACTTTATTTAGGTAAAATGAAAATGCACCTCTCTATATGTTCATTATAACCTATTGTGCTCTGGGTAAGCCAGTTTTCTTACATTCTTCTCTTCTTGCCTTTTTTCTTCTCTTTCTCTTTACAGATGAACAAATTGATGAAGAAACCCTCCTGCTGCTTGATGAAAAATCACTTGAAGCAATGATACCAAAGATAGGCCTACGACTGAAATTTAAAAAGCACCTGAGAGAGCTGCTTGTTGTGAGTGAAGAAATGCACATTTAAGATGGGATATATCTGCTTTAAGTGCAAAAAGACTTGGGGCCAATGTTCGTTTTTTGTTTTCTCATCTAAGGAGAATGCATAATGTATATAGTTCATCAAGTTATTTTGAGTGTGGCCAAGCCGGGTGTCACAGGACATTTAATTGCAGCAGATCATTTAAGAGACATCTGCTTCAGCACCATGTAGAGGTCAAAATTAGTTTGCCTGTACTGCTCTGGAACTTAATAGTCTTAAAAAGAACTTGTAAAACCTATGAAATGGGTTAAACACTTTCAATAAAGGCTGAAGATAGAGCATTGCCTTTTAAGTTTTTTAAATAAGTGTGACATATCTGCAATCTTAGAAGGTGCACTTACGTGCAAATTTAAAACCAGTCATATAGTTCTGCACGAAAAATTTTAATATAGCAGTTATGTTTTATTAATTAATTAAATAAAGGCAATGTATATGTCTGTTGAATAATCCGTTTTTCTCTGTGTAAAGTAATTAAATATATGCCGAAACAAATGAAATCTGTTCAAAATATAGTTTGTCAGACAATAATAATAATAATGTTTGCCTCTTGAATATTAAATGTCCCTGTTTAGTGAAAGAGATTTGATTATGCAGCAATAAACTAGCCAGTATGTCTTAATGCATGTGTTTTGATAATTGAAAACATGATCAAAACAAACATGTTTTAATGAGAAGAGTTCAAATAAGTGAGCAAATGAAAAAATTCTTATTGGTGTATCCCACCAGAATAATAATGGATAATTTTGTACAGGAGAAGCTGAAAGAATGGAACTTGGATGTCCTGATACCAAGCTTTAAAGGTAAACTTTATTTAGGTAAAATGAAAATGCACCTCTCTATATGTTCATTATAACCTATTGTGCTCTGGGTAAGCCAGTTTTCTTACATTCTTCTCTTCTTGCCTTTTTTCTTCTCTTTCTCTGTACAGATGAACAAATTGATGAAGAAACCCTCCTGCTGCTTGATGAAAAATCACTTGAAGCAATGATACCAAAGATAGGCCTACGACTGAAATTTAAAAAGCACCTGAGAGAGCTGCTTGTTGTGAGTGAAGAAATGCACATTTAAGATGGGATATATCTGCTTTAAGTGCAAAAAGACTTGGGGCCAATGCTCGTTTTTTGTTTTCTCATCTAAGGAGAATGCATAATGTATATAGTTCATCAAGTTATTTTGAGTGTGGCCAAGCCGGGTGTCACAGGACATTTAATTACAGCAGATCATTTAAGAGACATCTGCTTCAGCACCATGTAGAGGCCAAAATTAGTTTGCCTGTACTGCTCTGGAACTTAATAGTCTTAAAAAAGAACTTGTAAAACTTATGAAATGGGTTAAACACTTTCAATAAAGGCTGAAGATAGAGCATTGCCTTTTTAAAATAAGTTAATGCACTGTTGATTTCTCATTTTCAGATTTCACAAGACTTCTCTATATTATTCCCCGACCATGCAGAGAGACTTTTCCAAACTTGGAAATTGAGTTTCAAAGACAAAATCCTTTGCTTTGCCAGCCAGGAGAAAAAGGCTCAGGAGCTTCTTCACAATGTAGACAATTTGTCTCCAGGTACAGTTGTGAATGCAAGAACTGATAGTTATTCCTTAGAATAATGACGACAAAATAATTAATTGATACAAAATATTAATCTGCACAGAAGTCCAAAGTGACGTTGCACTCAGGCTGCTTCCTGTGATACTGCCCACCCCTGTCTACAAAAATGGGATGAAAATGTTCAAACAAAGCTTGGAAGAAAATATCAAGTCTTTAATTGAATTCAAGCATGTAAGTAATGTTGTATTGCACACATCACTATGCAAACCATACTAGGAGCAACTTAAAATGGCTAAACATATCAGGTGTTTATCAAGTCACTGTCATCTCGGTGTTAAATTCTTTATTTGTCATGGCTCAGAATCAGAAAAGAACTCCAAAAACTATACAGTGGCAAGAGAAAGTATTTGAACCCTTTGGAATTAATTGGTTTTCTGCATTAATTGGTAATGTGATTTATATATTTCCTATTAAATATATACAAACACAAAAGGATAGTTCCTACCCAAACCTGTAAGACCTTTGTTCATCTAAGGAACACAAATGAAGATATATGTAATGAAATCTGAGAAGTTTCTGTCCCTTCATTGACAGCCTACTCAACTACCACTTTCAAGGCATCCAGAAAATGCATATGTGATGAAATCTGAGAAGTTTCTGTCCCTTCATTGACAGCCTACTCAACTACCACTTTCAAGGCATCCAGAAAATGCTCACTTTGGCTCCATTTAAAAAACAAAAAACAAGACCTAACGCACCATCAATTTAGAATTTAATTAGTGAAGCTTGAATACAGGGTTCCTCTTCCTCTGCTTTTAAACAGTGCAGCACTTCCGGGATGGGTTGTATCGTGAGAATGTCTGCTCTGTCGTTGTTCTCTCATGAATGCGCATTGGAGATTGATGTGGAAGTGAAAAAAATTTCTGTCACTTGAAAATGGTAGTTGAGTAGGCTGTCAATGGTGGGACAGAAACCTCTCAGATTTCATTACAAATATTTTCATTTGTTTTCCGAAGATAAACAAAGGTCTTACTGGATTGAAACAACATGAGGGTGAGTAATTTTAACAAAAATATTTTAATTTTTGGATGAACTCTGCCTTTAAGATAACGACTTATAATTATAATCTTGTATGTCTTTATTGAACATCCCATTACAAAGAGTGAAAACATTCACTGATTATCAAGAAGGAAACACAATGTATTAAAAGAAATGGAGAGTGAACTAAAATATATCATGCTTTTTGCTATATGAATTATATATGCTTTCTTTTGTCTTACATTTGGATGTTTTTTTTTATTAATACATTTTTACCTTTTGATTATTACTGTTGCCTCTAGTAATTCTCTGTGATTTTTGTTATTATTATTATTATTATTATTATTAAACCTATTTCAGGTTTGTTTTTAACCGGCAATGTAGTAATTTTAATCAATAGTTGAGTTAAATAAAACAACCCAGCATGTTGGGTCAAAGATTTAACCCAACGCTGTGGGTTTCCATATTTGACCCAGCGTTGGGTTGCCAAAATAACCCAAATTGGGTTGTTTTAACCCAGCATTTTTTTAGAGTGTAGGTGCAAGGGCCATCACTATCATAACTTTCAAACCTTAAAGACTTTAGTCAAGGATCTATGGCTGAAGGTGGCCAAAATCATTCCTACACTTATTTTTGTAAGTTTTTCAAGAAATATTGAGCATACAATATGCTATTGTTTAGTTAAACACATTCACCAAGGTCCATTCATGTTGGTTTCTCTCTCATATATTCTTGGTCTATATACAGACA